GAGCGTAATAGAGTATACAGTGAGTCAACCTAACATGCATTTCATGGCGGTATCAAAAGAGGTAAAAGGAGGGAAGGCCCAGAAGAAAATATTTTAATAGGACAGGCGTGGTGGCTCACACCTGTAATCCCAGCACTTTGGGAGGCCAAGGCAGGTGGATTGCCTGAGTTCAGGAGTTTGAGACCAGCCTGGCCAACATGGTGAAACCCCATCTCTACTAAAAATACAAAAATTAGCTGGGTATGGTGGCGGGTGCCTGTAATCCCAGCTACTTGGGAGGCTGAGGCAGGTGAACCTCACTTGAACCCAGAGGTGGAGATTGAAGTAAGCCAAGATCGTGCCATTGTACTCCAGCCTGGGCAACAAGAGTGAAACTCCATCTCAAAAAATATATATATTTTAATATTTTAATATATAATGATGGAAGAAGGAAGGAAGGCAGGAGGAAGGAAAAAAGAAGGAAAGAGGGAGGAAGGGAAGATGGGATGAAGGGAGGAAGAGAAGGAAGGGAGGGAGAAAGGAAAGGAAGGAGGAGGATGGGGTGGGAGGGAAGGAGGGAGGAAGGAAGAAAACTTTTAAAACAGCCTTAGGAAGAAAGAGATCGCCTTTAAAGAGGCCATAAATAAACAGTCAGCTGACTTTTTTTAAAGCCACAGTGGAATCCAAAAGAAAAGCCTAGATCCTCTAGCCATGGAAAATATCCCTCAAGAGTGAAGATGAAATATAGACATTTGGGACAAGAAAAAAAACTACAAATAAAACCCCAAGAGCATTCACCACTAGCAGATAATCATCTTTTAAAAGGAAAAGGAGTGTGGCACCCAGAGCTGTGTGGAATGTTGGAGTTGACATTTTACTTGGAGCTTCCAACAGGGAAATCGCTCCTTGATGACCCATGTAGATCAATGATCATGGACATCAGTGTGAACCAGATGGACCCCACACATGTTTTGGCACCTCAGAGGCCCCTGGAATGTGTGTGTGTGTGTATATATATATATATACCTCCAGGGAAAACATGGAACCCCTAAAATGACATGGGAAAACAGTGGCTCGAAGCAGGAGCTAAATTCAGCTAGAGAATAATAAAGTTATACATCTCGTGGTGCACAGACTACTGAAGGCAGGCTTTGCAGAGAGCTTGGAGACCTCTAGAGCTGCATCTTAGCCACCCTCCTGAGTTACTAAGGGAGTCAAAGGACATAAGTCCTCTTAAAGCACCTCAGAGGCAAGGAAAGCCATACAGATTTGAGGCAATGATCATACTTGAAATCACTCCCTTGAAGTGACCTAAAGAGTATCAGTAGGGCTCAAGCAATTAAACAATTGTCAAATGCATCAAGCATCTGATATGAATTCACAGGCACATCTGAGCAAGAGACCAACAGTAATTCTTCATGTTATGACTGGATCTTGGGAGGACCCTCGGAATTCCCTAGGAGAGCTCCTATCTAGGACTGGCCCACTCTCCTGGCTTCTCCTGCCAGGAGCCAAGTTCAGAGACTGAAGGACTGAGTTCCTTCTCCCTAGCTTCTCCCTTGTAATTCCCAACAACTCTGACCGCTGGAGCTCTCCCCTAGAGGCTGGAGGGCTACTGATGATTCCAGGGAAGTGGCTGCTTGCACCGATCCTAACCCCTGATAACGCTAAAGATGCTGGGGAGGAATCTCATTCCCAGGATCATAAAACTTGGTGAAGAGGAGGGGTTTGAAAAAGATTAATAACATGACCAGACTGACTTCTTGAAAACAAGGGACTGGTGTGTGTCTTCTCTTCTCATGTAACATCCCAACTGCCTGGTGAACAACCAGCTCGAGGAAAAGAAAAAGGAGATTTGCTGCTGTTGCTAGGACTAGGGCTCCAAATACATCAAGGCCCTTGATGGGGGAGTTAAGCCTGCCACCATCCGGCGTCATGGGGTAACCAAGCACTATCCGCTCTCTAAGTGGTAAATATAATTTTCCCACGTGGGAGACACTAATCCACATCATGCTGAAAGCAAAGTTATAAAGTGAGGCCGTCCCACCCCACCACCGCCCCCACCCCATCTCGGTCATGAGCATCCAGGTGCCTTTTCTTTTTAGAAACAGGGTGTCATTCTGTCACCCAGGCTGGAGTACAGTAGTGTGATCATAGCTCACTGCAGCCTTGAACTCCTGACTCAAGCCATCCTCCCACCTGCCTCCTGAGTAGCTGGAACCACAGGCACACACCATCATGCTTGGCTCAGGGGCTGTTTATTGAAGCTTCTTCCACCCAGCTCTGAGCCTTGCTCCTGAAGTCATCCTTCGACCAGGGCTGCTGGCACCTCAAGCCACTCTGGCCCCTGAACACCCCCCAGTCACATTAGTCCTGGCTCTCTCATTCTTCATGATGTCCATCAGGCGGAGACCAGCCAATGGGAGGTCAGACCCACCCTCCTCCAAACTCAGCAACATGTGTGGGCTTTTACTATGTGCCTCTTCACAAATCTTTTTTCATTTTTGTGTCCCTTAGGATAGGAATTCCTAGCTCTACTTAACAGATGAGTGTGGGGCCAGGCACGGTGGCTCACGTCTGTAATCTCAGCACTTTGGGAGGCCAAGGTGGGAGAATCACCTGAGGTCAGGAGTTCAAGACCAGCCAGGCCAACATAGTGAAACCCCATCTCTACTAAAAATACAAAAATTAACCAGGCGTGGTGGCAGGCGCCTGTAATTCCAGCTACTTGGGAGGATGAGGCAGGAGAATCGCTCGTACCCGGGAGGCAGATGTTGCAGTGAGCCGAGATCATGCCACTGCACTCCAGCCTGGGCGACAGAGCAAGACTCCATCTAAAAAAGAAAGATGAGTGTGGTAGGCAGAATAAAGTTCCCCAAAGATGTGCACCGCCTGACCCCTGGGACCTGTGAATGTTTCCCTCTGTGGCAAAAGAGACTTTGCAGATGAGACTAAGTCAAAGATCTTGAGATAAAGATATTATTCTGGATTATCATCGTAGCCTCTAAATGCAACCACAAGTGTTCTTATAGGAAGGAGGCAGAAGGAGATTTGACAGGAGAGAAGGCAATGAAACAAGGTGTTGCTCTGCTGGCTTTGAAGATGGGGGAAGGGGTCAACAATTAAGGAATGCAAGGAATGCAGCATTAGAAGCTGGCAAAGGCAAGGAAATGGGTTCTCCCAGAGCCTCCATGGGGATCTTGGTCCTACCAACATCTTGATTTTAGCCCAGTGAAATTGATTTCGGACTCCTGACCTCCAGAATGCTAAGAGAATAAATATGTGTTGTTTTAAGTCAGCAAGTTTGTGGTGCTATATCACAGAGGCAATAGGAAAGTAATAAAATGAGTAAACAGAGACACTTAATGCCTTGCTTCAAGTCACCCAGCAAGTCGGTGGAGCTGGAATTCACACTCTGGCTTTTGGATTCTAAGCCTCATATTCTTCCTGTTACACCATGCTGCTTCTGAGACTGCAGCAATTGAGAGTGTAATAATCAGGGAACAGATAAATTAGGTAAACTGTGTGCGTGTGTGTGTGTGTGTGTGCGCGCGCATGTGTGTGTTAGCAGGATTAGACAATAGGGTATGAAAGAGAACATGTCATTGACTTGTATTTATCTCTCAAACTATCCAATGGAAAATTGACAAACACCAAATACAAATTATAAAAAGGTGCCATTAAGCTCAACATTTTGCCTCTGTTTTTTCCAGTCTTCATATTGCAAAATAGTGATGCTCTTGTTCTGTCCACATGTTCACCTAAAGTACTGGTCTTACAGAAAGTCTTGAAAGAAAACAAATGGGCCAGGTGTGGTTGCTCACATCTGTAATTCCAGCACTTTGGGAGGCCAAGGAGGGTAGATCACTTGAGATTAGGAGTTCGAGACCAGTCTGGCCAACATGGTGAAACCCCGTCTCTACTAAAAATATAAAAATTAGCTGGGCATGATGGCACACGCCTATAGTCCTAGTTACTTAGGAGGCTGAGACAGGAGAATTGCTTGAACCCGGCAGATGAAGGTTGCAGTGAGCTGAGATCGCACCACTGCACTCCAGCCTGGGAGACAGAGTGAGACTCCGTCTCTCACAACAACAACAAAAAAAGACTGTTCCTTGTGAGCCCTATCAAATAACAGAAAGTGTATAGAATAGATACAAGCCGGGGCTTGGGTCCTGAAGGTCAGAGTTCAATGTTTGCATTTCCTAAAGGAAATCTAGGGCAAGCACATCTCTAATGGACAGCGGTCGCTTTCGTGCCAGTGATATGCCTTGAGCTCTTGTTCACTTGGTACGTGTTGGATTTTCTCCTTCATTTTTAACTCCTCAGGAACCCCTAGAATGGTAAACTGGGAAGTCATCTCATTTAACTTAACAAGGAATCTGGGGCCCAGAGAGGTTAGGGGTGGCTCAGATGCTACTGGTTATGACCACAATCTGATGGGTCATCGTTACTTGAAGGGGTGAGCGGAGCTTCGCTTAACTTCCTTAAGGCTCTCAATGGAAGAACCGCAAGTGTCTGCCCCTTTGTCATTTTCTGAAAAAGCAATTTATCGTGAAATCCTCCCTGTGGCTGAGCTATTCAGTACTTTTTTTACCACGAAAACTCCACTCTGGTTAGTTGCTGCTTGGACATGATGCCATAGCATTATCTGAGAGGTCACAACACATTTTATGTCCTTGGTCAGAAATAGAAAAACAGAAGCACAAGACCCCTAGCCAGAAGATGACAGCATGCCGGAGCTTAGTGTCGCCAAGCTTTCCTTTCTATTTTTGGAAGCTTTAACTTATTAGGCAAACGTATCACCCAACAAACACTGGGAAATGTAGGTTGGAAAGGTCCCACTAGTTGATTAAATTCCCTCATTCTCCTCCAAGGCTCCCCACAAAACTGAAAGCCCCTTATCAGCTCTCATAAGAACAATAGAAGGAAACAAGCACTTTCTAAGCCTTTGATCCTACTCCTGCCTAACCTCCTAATTCAGTCTTTACCCTTGGTTTTAAAGCCACCAACACCTCTCCTGCTCCCAGAACTTTTCTCTAGCTGGGACTCCCATCTGCTGCTTTAATTAGAAGATGTGGGTGAAGAGCTGTTTGGGAATCAATGTGGAATCAAGGTAGAATGTTATTGATGCCCAGGTAGCCATCCTCCACCTAAACAGGGTCCTGCCAACATCATTGTACTGCCCGGCTTGCTACAGCACAGTGACAAGATGTGCTGGTGGTATCTTTCAGTGGAGATTGTACCTTGCATTGGACAAGTCCTCACAGGTGCCAAACTCATGTCAGACAATAAAGCAGGACTTTAAATAGCATGGCAGTGGCAATCTAGAGCTATCATAAACTCTAATTATCTGAATCAGGGGACTTTGCTTATTTTGTCAATAACATCTACTGGCAGAGAACTCCCAGGCCAGGGAAGCAGTGGGACTCCCCACAGGGAAGGGGAGCCACCGCCTACTAAACATGCATGGTTTATCTTCACAGTGGACAGTTTGGTGGCCTTAGACATCATCTTCTACAACCACATCTACATCCTTCCTTTCTGTTTCAAGTTGTTCTCTTGAGAAACTGTTCAAATTTTGAGGAGCTGAAAATGTACTGCCTTAAATCCAACTCATGCCGAGATTTCCAGGTTTGCTTTGAGGAATCCACTGGACTGATGGTGACTTGTTTAAAATTCTTCAGCTCTTCTACTATGTCCAATTCAACAAATAGTTACTGAGTGATTGCCATAGCAAGTCTCTTCTGAGCTGGGAGACTTCAGGTTTTCTCGGACCTCATGGAGCTCCCAGTCTATCTGGGAAGACAAAGTTAAGAAATAATGAGCATTGCAAAGTGTATTATAAATAGCAAGGAGATGTTAGTCTAGAGGGCCAGCTGCTGCTGTTGCCACTGAAACAAATTGAAGCCAGAAAGAGAACCAGAGGAAATGCAGGAAATGTGCCTGAAAAAAAAATAATAATAGCATGGTGGCCACCCACAATGGTGATCAAGTTTTTTTCCAAGTTCTAATGAAACATCCATTCATTTTTATTTTGTGAGATTGAAGCAGTAATAGCTGGGTATACAAAGAATTTCCTGTAGATTAATATGAAGCTGGAAGGAGTTGATAGACTTCAGCAGTGATTTGGGCTATTAATCCAAGCCAGTCATTCATTAACCCTCAGGAAGTTTTCTGTGCCAAAGTCATTATTATTATTATAAACTAAACCCCAAGCCCCAAATGGGTGTATGGCTACTTTTCTCTCCAGGATCCTGAGTGTTTGAGTCAGCCAGGGAGCCTGAATCATTTCCTGAATTCCCTTCTGGTTCATGGGGAGTTAGACTTTGTACAATGCACTTGCTGCCAAGGGAACCCAGCAAAGAGCCTTTTTGAGAGGTAACTATCATTCTTGCCTTTCTTCATGAGGTCCTAAGTGGCTATGGCAGGTGGCTGGTTGTCTCCCAATTTTTGTTCTTCTATACTTCTGTAGTATAAATTTTAGCCAGCAACATGGCTGCCTGGCCAAAGACTACATTTCCCAGTCTCCCTTGCAGTAGCCATGGTCATGTGACTAGGTAAAGCCCGCAGAAGTGATAAGGGTCACATCTTGATCTTGCTCTCAAAAAATTGGTAGTATCATCGACGCCCCCATGCCCAGTCCCTTCCCCACTTTCCACTGCTGGAAGGAGAGGAGGAGAACCGGGGTATCTCCTTAGACACAGAGATGGAAAGCACGTGTTCAGGATGTGGAGCTGCCCCAGCAGACCTGATCTGCTGACCTCCAGACTGTGACTTGGAAACAGATCAACTTCTCTCAGTAAGTCACTGTACTTTGGAGCCTTTTTGTTACAGCAGCTAAGACTGTACTCCTACAAACACAGTGCCTACCAAGCAAACCCTGTGGCCCCAGCTCAGGGACCTTTCCATATTGCATGTTGATGCATCAAGGTAGTGGCTTTTTTTTTTTTTTTTTTAAACATCTCAGGCTGGAGTTCAGTGGCACAATCTTGGCTCACTGCAACCTCTGCTTCCCAGGTTCAAGTGATCCTCCCACCTCAGTCTCCCGAGTAGCTGGGACTACAGGCAAATGCCAACCATGCCTGGCTAATTTTTTTGTATTTTTCTAGAGATGGGGTTTCATCATGTTGCCCACGCTGGTCTTGAACTCCTGAGTTCAAATGATCCAACTACTTCGGCTTCCCAAAGTGCTAGGATTACAGGCATGAGCCACCATGCCCGGCCCACAGTGGCTTTTTAAATACATTGTCTCATTTAATTATCCCAGTAGTCCTATGTGGTTGGTATTATTGCGGTACCATTTTAAAGATCAGAAAACTGAGGTAGAAATAGATCAAAAAACTTGCTCAAGATTCCACAAGCAAGTAGGTAGGAGAGTGAAGACTCCAACCAGCTGTGTAACTCCCTATTGCCTCTTCCCTGCCTTGCCATTCCCCTATAAGATGACTTGGTCACATCAACATTCCATTTGAGGTCCAGGTAAATACATACCCTGGGTTAAACAAATTCCAGAAAATAGTCTAACTTGGCTCTGTGTGGGTGTAACCCACCAATCTGGCTTTTTAAAGGCAACAACGATCGGTCACCCTCAAAAGCTCTACCTGGCGGTTCAATAGTTCAGCAGCTCCACATTGACTGAATTCCTATTGTGTTCCCAGGCATTAAGTTTGACACTGGGGACATCAAAATGGATAACACATGGCCCTGGATCTCAAGGAACCTGCCGCCTGATGGAAAACAAAAGAGAGAGACACACTTAAATGGATGATTTCAGCATAATGAATGTGACAAGAGATACGATAAGGGAATGTATCTGGTATCACCGCTTTTCCAAGGCTTCTCCAGGGGTAAAAAATTACCCAGTGGGTATTTGAAGGAGAAAGTAAATAAAAGAAAATCTACAGAGACCTGTGCTATTTGGTAATATGTGTTATTTTATCTAATCCTTACCACAAAACTAAGAGGGGTATAATTTTATCTCTGTTTTACAAATGGGGAAAGTGAAGGCCAACAGGACCTAAGTTCCCAAGTTCCTACACTCCACAGGAGATGCAGTGTTGAAATCTAGGTTAGCCTGAGTCCAGAGACCACATTTTAGCTACTGTTCCCAAAGTAAAGAAGTTGATCCTCTCTTTTGGGAAATTTTTCTTTTCTTGAGTCTTTTGACTGGAACACAAAACACCTGGAATTATGAAAACAGCTAAGAGAAAGGACTAGTTCTTTACAACATGGCGCTTTCTGTCAGTCTCAGGGAAAATGTCTCTTGTCAGCATGGAAAGAAAAGCAAGATTATAGGCAATCACTGTTTCTTTTTTCTGGGAGCTGCTTCTCCCCAAAGCTGACAGTATTGATTCTCGGGGGTTCAGTCACAGTTCCTGGCCCCCTCGAGGTCTGGCTAATCAGCCCCCCATCCTTCCTGCTAAGTCAAGGGCCCAAGGGATGGGCATGTGTCCAAGTAAGACCAGCCCGAGCTCATCTAGGATTCGACATGTGACTGCTGGGAGAAGAGAGAAGCTCCTTTTGCCCCTCTGGGCATCAAGCCAGGAGGCCTGGAGGTGAGGCAGCGTGTTCAATCATAGAAGCAATCAACCAATCATTCAATCAATTTTCCTGAAGTCCTAAGCTGGGTTAGGTTCAGTTTCTTTTACTTGCCAATGAAACCATCCTAATACTGTGGGGAAGGTCTGAGTACAAAAAGCAAGTTTACAATGTAATTTCAATACTTACATTCCTTATGTTTATTTCTGATTTTATATGTCATATACTTTATATATATAATATTTTCAAATATATATACAATATATTATATTAAATAGATAATATAGTCATATACAAAATATATAATATATTCATATATAAAATACATATGATTTTACATGTAGAATACTATATATATTTGTGTATTTATTATATTTATTATATTTATTATGTATTGTATTTTTACCTATTTCTTATATTTGTTATTTCAATGCATAGAGTTTCAACTGGGCATGATGAATTCTGCCTGTAATCCCAGCACTTTGGGAGGCTAGGATGGGAGTATCTCTTGAGCCCAGGGGTTCAAAACCTTGGGCAACATGAGAAAGACCCTCGTCTCTACAAAAAAAAATTAAAAATTGGCCACGATGGTATGCACCTGTAATCCCAGGTACTTGAGAGGATCCTCTGAGGCCAGGAGTTTGAGGCTGCAGTGAACTATGATTGCACCACCGCACTGCAGTCTGGGCAACAGAGTAAGACCCTGTCTCAAAAAAAAAAAAAAAAAAGTTAAGAGTTTTCGAAGTTCTGAGAATTTCAGGCACGCCATCATTTTCAAATGAAACCACACAGACACATGATAAGGTTAAATATTTGGAATCACTATCTTTTTATGTGGCTCCCACAGCAGAGGTTGTTCGTGCATTTCATAACTAAGGTCTGGTCCTCATTTTTATTTGTAAGTGACAGAGGATGCAGACAGTAACTTCTGGTTTAGTCACCAGTCCCACTCTACAAGATGTCAGCTGCACATACTTAAGAGTTGTTAAATTTATGTTTCCTACTGAATTGCCATCTTTGTCTAACAAAACCCATGCTATGATAAGCTACTTCCATTTTTCCTTCTTCTAAAAGGTATTACTCAAAATGGATTTCCCCAGAATTTCACAGTTTTCTAGAATCTGTGACCAAAAGTGGGACTATTTTCCATCTCTATACGGGAGGCCTGGCCTGAAATGTAGGCAGGTTTAGGGGTACCTACATGGGGTGTCATCAGGGCTTTGGGGTTCCTGCCTCACTCCAGGGCCTTAACACCTGCTTCCTGAGGTCTAAGAGTCCTTCCCCATGGAACAATCTCAATTAGAGATGCCTTCAGAATGTAATTCTGCCTGGGAGAGGTGACACATGGATAAATCCACAGTAAGAAACAAATAGGTGAGAGCCGATTCTAATTCTGCAGAGAGAAAGGGTGAAGTGAGAAAAGGTGGACAGAGGCTGCCTGATCCTGGGAGAAGCAGCCCACGAATGGGGAGTGAGGAGGAGGGATTCTGAAAGAGGAGACTGAAAGTATAGGACCTGCCCCCACAGCTCAGCCTGGCCAGCCATGGGATAATCCTGCCTGGGGCTTCCACTAGCCACATGACCTCAGGCAATGCCTTAACTTCTCAGTATCCTCATCTGGAAGTGAAGACAATCATACCTACATCACAGGGTGTTGTATTCCTAAAATCCCTCATATCTATGGAGTGCGCAACACAATGCATGAGGTTTGCTATCAGTGGACAGAAATTTAATCCCTAAGGATGTCAGGTAAATATTTGTTGAATGTTAGTGAATGGAGGAATGAATAATCAGCCCTCCCTCCATTCAGTCAACCAATCAGTAACCTCTTATCTCACATCTGCTTTGAAAACCACCACATTCAACATTCATTCAAGAGATTATTTATTGAATGCATACTATGTGCCTGGAAGTCAGAACCCGCTCCGTAATTTTCCAGGTCCAGCATAAAATGAAAGAGGAGGGTCTTGTCCAAAATTTACTAAGGATTTCAAAATAGAGACAGCAGCGCATGCAGCTGGCCACACCATCAGCATTTTAGGAGCCAGGGACACAACGGTGACAAAATAAACAAGCACTCTTACCCTTGTGGAGTTTACATTCTAGCAAGAAGAGATAGACAATAAACCAAATTGTTTTGTTTATGCAAGACGTATAAACGAATATATTAAATATATATATATAGAATGTTAGAGAGTGATTAGTCCTGGGGGGGCGGAAATGGATGAGGAAAATGGGCGAGGGAGTGGAGTAGGGGT